TGTCTGGGTAATTGATGTTGTGGAGTCGGTTTTGGTGTTGGGTGTTGCGGCATTTGGTTGCGAGAAGGAGTCGCCGAATGCGTGGGAAATGAGGGCTGTTGCAGATGTTGAATGGTTGGTATGTGGGATGCGGGTGCAGTGATTTTTGTTGGGGTGTGATGAGACTGTAGCGGTAGACGCTGGAGGAAAGTGGCAGGGCAGGTTGTCAAAGGATGGGTGCGTCGACATGGCGTTTGAGACGTCGCAGATGCAGTTGACGGATAGAAGGGTAGACCTGGGAGGAGGCGCGTGGGTGTTTGGAGTAACGCGACTTCTGCTGTGCTGCGGTGCATTGGTGGTTGCAAAGCGGCAGCGGAAGTGTCATGAGAGAAGCGCAGGGAAGAGAGGACGGAGAGACTGTCGAGGGTATTATTGCAGTTGGAGGAGGTGCATTTGCTTTAATGACGCTGTCTGGGTAATTGATGTTGTGGAGTCGGTTTTGGTGTTGGGTGATGCCGCATTTGGTTGCGAGAAGGAGTCGGCGAATGCGTGGGAAATGAGGGCTGTTGCAGATGTTGAATGGTTGGTATGTGGGATGCGGGTGCAGTGATTTTTGTTGGGGTGTGATGAGACTGTAGCGGTAGACGCTGGAGGAAAGTGGCAGGGCAGGTTGTCAAAGGATGGGTGCCTCCACATGGCGTTTGAGACGTCGCAGATGCAGTTGATGGATAGAAGGGTAGACCTGGGAGGAGGCGCGTGGGTGTTTGGAGTAACGCGACTTCTGCTGTGCTGCGGTGCATTGGTGGTTGCAAAGCGGTAGCGGAAGTGTCATGAGAGAAGCGCAGGGAAGAGAGGACGGAGAGACTGTCGAGGGTATTATTGCAGTTGGAGGAGGTGCATTTGCTTTAGTGACGCTGTCTGGGTAATTGATGTTGTGGAGTCGGTTTTGGAGTTGAGTGATGCGGCATTTGGTTGCGAGAAGGAGTCGGCGAATGCGTGGGAAATGAGGGCTGTTTCAGATGTTGAATGGTTGGTATGTGGGATGCGGGTGCAGTGATTTTTGTTGGGGTGTGATGAGACTGTAGCGGTAGACGCTGGAGGAAAGTGGCAGGGCAGGTTGTCAAAGGATGGGTGCGTCGACATGGCGTTTGAGACGTCGTAGATGCGGTTGATGGATAGAAGGGTAGACCTGGGAGGAGGCGCGTGGGTGTTTGGAGTAACGCGACTTCTGCTGTGCTGCGGTGCATTGGTGGTTGCAAAGCGGCAGCGGAAGTGTCATGAGAGAAGCGCAGGGAAGAGAGGACGGAGAGACTGTCGAGGGTATTATTGCAGTTGGAGGAGGTGCATTTGCTTTAACGACGCTGTCTGGGTAATTGATGTTGTGGAGTCGGTTTTGGAGTTGAGTGATGCGGCATTTGGTTGCGAGAAGGAGTCGGCGAATGCGTGGGATATGAGGGCTGTTGCAGATGTTGAATGGTTGGTATGTGGGATG